TAACCCACAAGCTCCCATTTTTTTGTATTCTTAAGAAACACTCTTACATGTTATTCTCAAGAAAAGAAATAGATAAGAAAATTAAAATTCATCTCATTAGATTTATGAATACAATTATCTTCATAAACAATAAGGTAGAGCTACACTCATTTGGGAATACAATACAATCTTTAACCACACAAGCACTCTAGATTTGTTTCTCTTTTTAAAGTCTTATTTCAAATACATTATTTAAATACAAATTAAATAAATTCTATTACTTGAAAGGTGAGAGATAAATCAGTCTAAAACTCAAGAAAAAGTGATGATGCACAATATATACTTTAGCTGGGAGATATCTCAGCAGACTAAGTGCCTACTTGGCAAGCACAGGGACCCAGTTACAATCTCCAGTGATGCATGCCCGGCTAGCGCCTGCACTCTGGGCTACCAAAACCAGGCATAATGGCACATGCCTTAATCTAAGTGCTGGGGGAAGCTAAGAGAGGAAGCTGACTACCAGTCCAAGCTGTATAGGGAGACCCTATACCAAATAAATACATAGATAAATAAAAACATAATTTAAAAAAGTAAAAATATCATCTCAATATTCTTACTATCTTCTAAAAATTGATAATTTTATTTTTCATGTATATGATTCTCCATATTTAAAAGTGAGGAAAAATCAGGATTTTTGCAGCCATAACAGAGTAAATAGACTGAGAACTATAACATCACACATAGAGAATGAATCACTTCTTGCTAATATTGAGAATGTCAACTCAATGTCCAGCCCACACAGTAGTGGTATGTTTCTAAAAATAAGGTGCAAGCTTGCATTTTAATTTTTAAATACAAAAGAGAAATTTTATATATAACTGTTTTATTCCTTTAAAGATGTCTATGATTATTTTTAAAGTCTGAGCTTAGATTCTTATAACCTCTGAGAAATCACAGGACAAAAGTGATGATTCCAATTTACACCAAGCAAGACTGGTGCAGGATAAGGTCCATCAGATCATTCAGACTCAGATGAAATCGTGGCCTGAAGCCTGAACACAAAGCATGAGGTTTGTATATTGGCAAGGCCTGGTTTCTGCTCCAAGTGGATTTACACCTTATTGTTTCACAAAGCTATTATGTATCTCTTAATATATACAAATTAGAGTACAATTACAATTATGGCAATCCACCCGGTTAATTTAGACAAACATATTAATGAGATTTTCATTACTTCAAATGGCATACCCTATTATATACAGGTATAGCATAGCTGTCTATAGTTGCTTTTTAAAAAAAACTCATCAGTAAAGGTATGTCTTTCTCTAGGTCAACATATTTTCAAGTACTTCTTATTGTGATTTCTATCTGATTAGAAGGATAGGTTTTTTGACTAGTTTTCCAGTCCTTATAAGTTACTTCCAGCCTCTCACTTTCTCTGCTATCCTTGAAAAACAAAGTAAAGGAAAATGCAGGTGATCTTGATACTACCAGTCTGTGAGCCATAAACATTCTGTTTTAGTGAACTCACTGAGGTATTGCAGGCTATCACAGAACTTCAGTCATGGACTCCGAAGACCTGCCCACCAAACTTACCACGTGAATGGTGGGTTCAGACATTCCCCTTCTCTCCTAGGTGAAGAAAAAATAGAACAAGCTTCTCCTTGTTATAGATACTGAGAATTGTCAAGAGAATACAGCTACTTTCTCTTAATTCAGTGAGAAGAAAGATTTGTACTAATAGCTTTTGGACAGGATATCAAGTTTGCATCTTGTACTGTGAACAACCACTACTAAGACAACAATATGCCATGTATTAATTATTGAAACTGTCCTACTAATCGATTTTGAAACTGTCTTATTGCTATTTGTTTCTCAACAAAATTAATTTGAAAAATAAAAATAAAATAAAGGGAATAATTGCCAATAACAAAAGACCATCATGTGCTCCACGAACTTGAAGTGGTTATGACGGGATGTTAAAAATGTTGCTTATCTTTGCAATAGTGGGGGCAGACCTGGAATCACAGAGGTTGTGTCCTGTCTGGAAACAGTTCTCCCAAGAAAATGAGGGTCCCCCAGCATTGGACCCAAGTACCAATTCCTCTGAAGGAGATCACATACTATTTTAGTGGGCACTGCAATTATTTCTTAGTACTGAGTTGAGTTCAAGTAATCTTCTTTGGGATTTTGCATAAGTATTAGGCTTTAATATCAGAACATCATTTGTAAAATTGTATATGACTTTAAATCTTCAAAGTGATTTGTGTGATATAAACTTTGTGTTAGAAAATACTGAGCTGCTAAAATTTGTAGGTGGTTATCTATGAATGGGCACCTTCATGAAATATTTCCTTAGCTATCAATGACGTCTTGTTTGGTTTTAGACTGTTTACATTATGATTTGATGTCAACAACAAAAAACACATTGTTGTGTAAAGGAAGACACACTACAGCACAGAGTTGTGTGCTTTCCCATAATCTTACTGTGACAATATAATTGCTGTTTAGTTAATAAGCCTAAGTACCAGTGATGAATGTGAGTTTATGCATGGCATATTGATGATAGTATCTGAGTACAATAAGCTGCCAAATGAGAGGCAATGGAAAAGAAATATTGCAGTCCAAATTGCACTCCAAATAACTATTTTTCTTTTTGTGCAATCAAAATTGTATAGTCTACAGTTATTTCCATAAACACTCATTGGTACTGTAGAATGAACATAATAACTTCATATGATTCATAGGAGATACTTACAACATAAACTTATACACCTGTGATGAATTGGATTTAGTAATTTCTCTATGCTTAAGGAAATATACGCTTACTGTACCACAGTTGCAAGGGATTGTTTATCTTTTCTATTAGACTTGTAATTAATCATCAAGGCATGAGCTGCCTGATGTCAGGCAGATTTAACATTCTGGAAAGTATTCAGTGTCGGACACAGAAAGCACTGTAACATAAATGAAACACATGAAGTTTTCTTCAATATTTCTTTGTTTGCCAGCAGCATATAAGGTAAATGAGATATAGTGTGGAAAGTTTAAATCAGTGCTGAAAACAGAACATTTCTAAACTCCAGCTAAGGCTAGATTGTTCCTTTCTGCACTTGTAAAGTTTTAATAGATCTATTTGGCTATTGTTGGGGAAAGGAAATGAGTTTCAGATTATTTAAGTGGGTAAGCTATGCATACTTTAAACAGCAAAAAGATGACATAGTGGAGAAAACACTGAATCCGTTTACATAAGGACTGGATCAAACAGTAGTAATTCAGAAGTCCACTGAACAAGTGAAAGCTCTCAGCCAATTTCAATAAAACTGTCTAAACAGATTTTATGCAGCTGAAAATGCATATAAGGAGTCTCTGCTACTACCTTCTTCTAACATAAAGAACGAGGCTGCAAAAACATTAAAACAGTATGTGGGTAGTCTACTCATAGGAATACTAATGAAGGCATACCTCAGAGACGTATGTAAGGCATGCAACATTCTCCCTCAAAAATAAAGTGTTTTTAGTGGATTTTTTGAAAAGTAACTTCAGTATTATAACTTCATTATGTGTGAAGTTCACTTCAGTAGCTTCTTCTCTTTGCATCAATATTTCAATAATTTACAGGAAGATTTTTAAAGATAAAGTGGGTTCAGTCCCTAGGAGCTTTATAGTGAGTTGTTTATTGGCCAAGGAAAATCACTGCAAGGAAGAAAACTGACCTCTCCTGCCACAGAGTAGCCAGTAACTCAGAAATAGGAATAAAAATGGGAAGTTTGGAATAAATAAAAATCACTTCTTAAATGGCTGTATTGGACAATCAAATTCAGACCAAAAATTTATTGAAAATGAGAATAAAGTATAATTATGATACTTTAGTATATATTTGAAGGAAAACAATTCATTAAATGTTACACAATGTTAATGGGAGTTTAATACTTTTTACAGTTGATTTTCATCAAGACAAAAATAATACTTCTATATTAACAAATTTACAATCTGTAGAGTCAATTATTTGAATCTGTTGGCTGAGGAGAGAGCTAGGCAGTCCAAGTGCCTGTCTGGTAAGTGCAAGGACCCAAGTTCAATGTCTGGTACCACATGCCATGCCAGATCCAAAACCGGACATAGTGGCTCATGCCTATAATCCCACTGCTGTGGAAGACAAGACAGGAGGATCACTATGAGTCTAAACTGCATAGCATGACTCTGTATCAAACAAAATAAATTATATATTTGAATTTTACAGTCTGAAAGGTCCCTCAAACTATAGGAAATAGCAGCAGACTGAAATAAATGTGATTTTCCATATGATGACGCAGGCTCTTAACTGATGAATTATTGATGTATTACTTCTTCAAAGGTTTTTTTAAAATACCCTTTTAAAGATTATACACAAATAATAAGTCAGCAACTTTATTGGAATGAAATTATATCAGAAATTAAAATTATCTCTGTTGCTAAATCCAATAATAAATTGTAATTTAAAAATAAGAATTCAGAAACATCATACCACAGTGATATATGTACACCTATAATTATAGCAGCACAATTTTTCAGAGCCAAATCTTGGAAACAACCAAAATGTCTATCACCTGAGGAACTGATAAAAACTATGTGTGGTATTTTTATACAATGGAACATTACTTGGCTGTTAAGAAAGATAACCTTGAGGATTTTATAGGTAAATGGATACAACTAGAGGCTATATTCATAAGTGAAATAAATCAGCCCACATGTGTAAACATTGTATTGTATCCTTAGTGTAAGAACCTGAAAAAATAAATAAAATCCATAATGCATAATAGGTATGCTGAAACTGAAAGAAACTAAGCATGAGAAATGAACAATTGAGATGAGGGAAAGAAGAAAAGATAGGAAAAAAGGAAAAGGTGAAATCCTGGCAGTATATGCACAGGATAGCTAAGATAATTGTACTACTAATTCCTAGTGGTTTTTGGAGATTTTGAAGGTAGTAGTTAATGGGTTTTTTTTGTTTGTTTGTTTTTGTATTTAGTGCAGCATCTAAAAATATATGTTTCACAGATTTGCATGTCATCCTTGCACAGGGGCCATGCTAATCTTCTCTTTATTGTTCCAATTTTAATATATGTGCTGCCAAAGAGAGCACAGCAGTTAATGTTTAAAGTTTTTACTTTGACCAATTTTGTATGCTTATCTCTATAATTGGGGCAGCTACATTGAAGACAGCAATGTGAAATATAACAATCACTGTTGAATACTTTTCATCTTATTTTTTAAAATGTATATTGCTTCTAATGTTTTATTTACTATTTCTATGATCTCTTTTGAATAAATTAAAAAGTAAAAAGGACAAGAAAAAATTAAAGTTAGATAGGAAGAGTTAACTACAATTATCTTAGTTCAGTTGTTTGATCAATCTTTCATGCCCATATCTGGTAATCTGAGTAACAAATTTTGCAATAACCATATGTAATATAATGACCATTATCAATTTTCTATTGTTGTTTTGAAATCCTATACCATTTTTACTGTTCTATGTTGCTTCGTTATTGTCTTTGTTCCTTCTGTTTTTTCTCTTTAAAATAAAGAAAATATAAAAATTGAGGATAGGTTTTATAAAATATGTGTTCTATCAGTTTCTTTTCATAATATCAAATATTGAACTGAAATGTTTTAAACATTTTTTTCATAGAACAGCCTTGCATATAATTGACTAGAAGTAGAACTATGTTATATTATTTTAATAATGCATATATTTGGAGATTGGGAAAAATAACAACTGGAATATGTAAATGCATGGAAAAGTGGTTTTTCCTCCCAGAAGTTTCTGCAAGTTCATAAGCTACATGAGAACAAGTCAAAAAATTAATAGAACAATAGGTAAAATAGGAGACCCAAAACATACAAAAAGTGATATATAT